GCACAATAGTATATATATATGTGTGTATGTATATATATATATATAAATATATATATATAGGTATATAGTCACATACCTCTTTCATCATCGTCTACTCGACGCACAGCTAACTGCAGCGTATATCTTCAGGTTGACAAGTGCGCCGCATTCCGACTGTTTCGGCTATATTGGGATAGATACACTTAACCTAAATACCCCTACAGAAATTTTGTACTTTAATTATACCATAGAACAGTTGGCGTGTGGGTTAGAGGACGCTAACGATTTGTTGCTACCGGTTACTGAGGTTCGTGCAACAACCAGAGGCGCTTGCGAATAGACTACTTGCACCGAGACAACGTTTGGATATGACATGACCATGTCAGTACGATGCGCAGTTGCATTTGATTCAGCACAGTGCGATAGAGGTATATAGTATGGCAGTGGTATTTCTTTCCGCTTTCGATCGCAGTCTTAAATACTGTCATAGTACTTCATATTTATATAAATGTCGTACATACGGTCAAACGTATTATGATGGATACGGAGCCGCAAAATTCAAAGCAATACATGCTCATTATGATAGTCTGCACACAATGGTCACAGATGCTGCGCATATATTGGTGGCTTTTTTTATTGCACTTGATATTGGCTCTCACAATTTAATTTTTTATTTTTTGAAATAACGTTCAGAATCCTAATTGTATTTTGTCAAATATTCAATTTTAATTCGAAGTTCCAATTTCTATTTGCATCACAATACTATTTAGTAGTAAATAGGTGGTGAGTGGTGAGTTGGTGACCGGACCCATCACAAGACCAGGTGACTTCGATCGAGTATGAATATGTATTTATATTTTCAACTGAATACTGAAAGCATCACAGTTTGGACTTTGGACTTAAATTCGGGGACAGACGGCGAATTTAACCGAGAAAAAAAACCCAACAAAAAAAGGTGCTCTTTTTTGTCTAGAGGGTCCGTTCCAGGCCTAAATTTTATCCAAAAAAGAGGCAGACAAAAGTAGGGCTGGATGCCTCGGGGCCATATAGCTCTCTCTAGAAATAAATACAGTGGTACAGTAATATGCACAAATGCGCATATCATATGCTTTGTTTGGTAAGGTGTTTAATCCTCGACCTTGCTCTAATTCGTAGTTCAATTAGTAGCGTGTGCTTTGGCTCAGTTGTTAGCGGTAAGCATTTATAACTTGACAGGCAATATCTCTGACTACTATAATCCCGCACCCAGAAAAACACCACAAAATACATGCATTGGACGCTCGCACCCAACAGGTGAGTATTACCGCTGTTCTTATATACATTATATATTGTATCTCATTTATAGGTTATCATAAAAACATATGCTAATTTTTTGAGAGTATAACAAGCCACACTTGAACAAACGCAGAAGTATCCTGGTAAGTAAATACTGCAAATAAGTTTCGAGTCCCAGTATAAAAAAAGTCGACAAAAAAAGAGGTAAACATTAAAAGAGGTAGACAATGAAGGTTTGACTGTAATTTTATGTCATTCCTGTGTTTTAAAATATGCTGATCAAAAAAAAAAATAGGGTTTCAAACTCCAAAAGTAATATATAAAAAGACTGAGGTATTCTAAAATGGAAAAAAGGAAGAAGAAGAAAAAGTATTACATAAAAGTAGTTGCTTGCCAAAACGGTAAAAAAAATCTATTTAGAAGGGCCTAGTAAAAACATATGTTTTTGTAAACATGTCGAGGATTTTGTAATGGTCTTTTAAAGCATACATTGCGCATATGCCAATACAGCGCAGTGTTATTTGTTATTTACTATATGTGATATTAACGAGTGATGATGGACGCTTGTATGCAAATATAATATATATTAATATTTATATATATATATATATATATATATATATATATATATATATATATATGTAGTAGTATAACTAACTAAATAATTTACTTACT